TCTCAGAACGGCTCCTATCCTTCCATTTGTTCTGTGGCTAACATGTTGCAACAGGCAGCGCTACCATCTATTCCTCTGTGTTGCCTAACCTGGACGTTACCGTGAATGCGGCGATCCCCGATGCCGATATCGTGGCAGCCCTGCGAACTGGCGCGATTAATGTGGTGATCGACCTCGACGTGGCATTTCTGGCCTCGGAGGGCATTGACGTGACAGGGCTCAGGAGCTTCTTCGGCGGCTTCGATAATCCTAACGGGTCGCTCTTTGCCATTCGCTGCCTGCCGAGACACCTCTGCGGCAAGAAGAACCAGAAGTGGAAGAAGTCGATGTGATACCTTCCATCTGGAATAAAGTCTCAACTCTTGCCTAAGCTGCCAAGAGCGAAAAGCGCCAAGGAGCTAGCTGCGTTTCGCACCCTGACCCACACCACCCACATCGAGGGGTGTGTCAACGCGATCGTCATGGGCAGGCTCACCTACAAATCCTTCCCCAACGGTCCACTGCCCGGGCGCATCAACGTGGTGCTTTTTTTTCCTTTTGACAAAACAGAAAGAACAGTGACTGTCATAAAGCGCAAGTGTTCATTGTGTGGGTGGGGCGGTGACCGTGCGCTCGTCGCTCCATCGGACTCTGCCGAGAGTGCCAAAGTGCTGTGCGACACCCCAATAAACAAACACACAAATCGAATGTTTGATGGGGACGAGGGACCCTCGTGGGTGACCCTCGTGGGTGCTGGATGGTCTTTCGCCAACATGGGCGCATGAAGCAAACACTTTTAACCCGCAACAGACGCGTCGGTGTCATCGTCGTGGTCGTCGCAGTCTTGGTCGCCCAACGCATAGACCTCGCCTGAGCCGGCCACCACGAGGCAGTGGTGTTGGCCGCAGGCGACGGCGGCCACCGTCAACCTGGTGGCCTCCTCCTCGCCGCCGGCGAGAGCCGCAGGCGATGGAGCGGGTGGAGATGCTGCGGGTGGAGATCATCGATACGGGCATCGGCATCGAGAGCCACGTCATGCCGCACCTGTTCCGCCAGCGTGGTGATAGCAACAACTTCCAACCCATTGCCTGACCATTTGAGCAGATTCAAATAGCATTGTGGCAGGCTGAAGCCAAGAGGCAACCACAGTTCCAAACCCAAGCATGATACCACTGAATCTTCCACTCACGTTGAGAAAAAACTAGCCCCCCAGCTACAGCAAGGTCAGCAAAACAAGGGTCATTCACATGTGCCCTATTTTCATGTCCAACTGTTGACTATTTTCATGATTCTTCTGTACAGACTTCTCATTTTATACCTTATATAAAAGGTACCCTGTCCCCTTTTTATGAACACCTGGTTTTAACCTCCACAACAACCACTGTGGCATTGTCACACATGACCAAGCAAAATAAGATACTGAGAAAGTGAATGCAATGATGAAAGAATTCAGAAAACAGGCTGAAGATTGGTAGCATGGTCTACTTCACTGCCAGTGCAAGTCATGGCATGTCCAGTTTAAGTTTTTACAGAATTCAATTTTCTGAGGATGCTGACATGGGATGAGACAACAATGGTCACCACACTCACAACCTTGATCACATGTTGTGCAAGACACGTATGATCAACATTGGCTCAACAAGTGTGCTGCTGTGTCATGCTTTGCATTCTTGGTTCTATTTTAATTTTACAAAACAATTTACATCATAATTTCTTTTGTTTCTTCATTGAAACAGATGGAACAGGGTGGGGTGGTGCATGTTTGGTGACCATGCTCTCTGATGAGCTTCTCCTTCTTCAGTGTGTCTCTGACTTGTCAGAGTACCTGTTGGGAATCATGAGCAGCAGAGCTCACACCACACCAAGGCATCTCTTGCCACCTCACACCACCAGCAGCACACAGGCATGCAGGTCACCCACAACTCCTTCCATGCCATCTTCCTGTCCCAAACCCCCCATAAATGAGTGGGCAGGGGAGAAATTTAAACAAAAACAAAGCAGACAGACATACCCATGCTGCAGCAGATGACCCAACAGGAATCAAGCTGCTCATCATCATGCCCAAGCACGTCTACCAGGGTCATGATGTTGGGGTGTCAGCCAAGTGCCTTCAGCATCATCAACAAGAGCTGCACTATTGCTCTGTCTAGCTTTGGGGAGCATGCTGTCCATTCTGGTGAGAGCCCACCAGACTCCAACAACAACTTTGTCTCAGCAAGTGGTATTTTCCACCAGAGCACCTACTTGGCAGCACCATGTGCACTTTCTACCACCCACACCAAGGGTGCTTGCCACTTAGTCCCATGCCCACTCTCACACACCAAACACATATCTTGATAATAGGGCAAAGTGTAGCCACAACATGTGGCAAGTGGGCCTTGTGCTGGGTGAGATGCTGAAAGGTCAGCCCCTGCTGCCTGGCAACAGCACCATGCACCAGGTGCGCCAGAACTATTGGATGCACACACCAACTCATTCACTCTCTGTGTGCTGCCTTGGGTTGCACACAGCTGGAGCTCATCAGTGCACTCATGAACCCATCAGCTGATGATGTCACTGCAATTGAGAGTCCTTATGCCAAGCATTTGATGGAATCCATACCCAGTGGTGGTGTTGGAGTGTGTTGGTCACTTGAGGAGGCCTGCCCCAAGGCTGCCCAATCCACAATTAACCTCCTGTGTGGCCTGCTCTTATTCAACCCTGTCCACAGGTTTTATTGTTCTTGCGTGTGTTTGTGCAAATTAAGAAAATCAAGAAAAATAGATAAAGCCACATGAGACGAAGCGCTACAGGCACCAACAGCTTGCGAGTCGTGGGGCTGGGTCGTTGTACGTTCCCTCGCGCTCCAAAGAATACGTCTTCTTCTTCGGCGGTCCTGCGCTTCTTGCCTCTGAACAGCTCGGCCTTCATCTTTTCTCCTGTCGCACGATTCATCCCTTCAAGACCAACAGCGTCTCCAGCACCTCCCTCTTCGTCGACTTCATCTTCATCGGCCAACCCTGAGCGAATTCCAGACGCTCATCTCCAACACCACATCCCTCATCACCACTCACCCCACCCCAATACTCTCCATCATCCTCGCGGATCGCATCAGCATCACCCCCACCCCTCATCCTTCTGGCACGTACTCAAGATGGAGGGCGGCAAGGAGGCCATGGAGCAGGCCGACATCGTCGTGTTCGGCGGCGGCTCGTTCGCCACCGCGCTGGCCTACGTTCTCTCCAAGAACCACCACACCGTGACGCTGCTCACCCGCAACGAGGCCGTGGCCCAGTCCATCAACGAACAGCACCGCAACCCCAAGTACCTCTCCGCCTTCACGCTGCCGCCCAACGTGCGCGCGTCGACCCGGGCCGAGGACGTGGTGCCGCAGGCGCGCTACATCGTGCACGCCGTACCCGTGCAGGCCAGCCGGGAGTACCTCCAGCGGCTGGCGCCGCTCATCGCGCCCGACACGCCGATCATCTCCTCGTCCAAGGG